AGCTGTAGAGCATTCGTCCCTGCATTCTGCCTTTTCACAATTTTAACCGCGTACCCTAAGCATTAAGACACTATTCAAAGCCATGAAGTTAAACGGATTTGCTGTCCTTTACACAGACATTCATAAGAGGCAACAAAAAACCACAAACCGCTTAAAAGCATCGTATCTCCTACCCCTGACCCTCGTGGCCATCCATTTCCTCATGCTGGCATGTGCCGAGGCTGTCTCCTAGTATGAAACACTGATTCAACCTTGGCTACGTAGGCAAATGTTTCTGCAGGGCACGCGCACTGTGCTCAGCAGAAGCATTTTCCTAGGAACCCAGGGTGAATCAGTTCACAGAAGGCGCTGATGTTTCAAAGACAAACTACCCTTGATCCGCACAGCTTCGAAATTTCAGTCAGCTGCCTCGAGATCAAAGTGAACAAAGTACTTGGCTCCGGATTTTTGAGGCATGGAACATCAAGAGCGGTGAATTGTGTTGACTTTTTTGGACTCGGCAGCGCCTAAGTAGGGAAGGTGGTCGGGACAAAAATGTTATACCTAATTGTTCAACAGTCCGCAGCTGAGTGAATGCCGGTTCCTCGAGAAGCTTCACTATAAGCGCAATTAGTGCATTTTCTCTCGTATTCTGAAATCGAAAGAATTCAGTCAGACTGCTCACGATAACCAATAAAAAAAATAAGTCACAAAAACCTGAACTCCAGCTTGGAGTAACACATTCACACAAGACACTTCATGAGTGTTCTGGAAATGTCGATACAAATATGCATCACCTATAAATCAAAACATTAATGAGTGTCTAATTGTGGAATGTTGCCCCTGTGGAAATTTATGGTCTCGACCCTAAACTAGTTTCGGCTTCAATTCAGGCATAGCTCACGATAATTGGCACTTGCTCAAAAATAGTGCAGGACTGCTAACTAGTGGAAAACGATGGAATGCGAGGTTAAATAGCCAAAAACCTGTAAGAAAGACTCTGCTCTGTACCTCATAGGACGAGCGGTTCTGGAAGAGTTCTTCCTTGACATTGTGCCAGCAGTCGTTTTGATAGATACGGCTTCACATATGTTTTCATATATCCATCAAGCATCATTTACATCAACTGTACTTCACAAGTGAAGCGATATGTGGGCGAGCGGATGCATGGCGTTCGGTCAGCGCCTTGAATCTGATAAGGCCCGTGCACTCGGTTGGAAAAGGAGCTATGCAGCGGCAGCTGGGGGGGGCACATTATTATTCCGTTCTAAGCTTATCGACCCTGTACGCCTCGTCCATTTTCGTGCCAACTTGCTTTTGAAGGCAGTGGGCACAATAATTTAGTTCTGCAGAAAACGGGACCGAAGGCACTCTGTATTGCGACAGTAAGGCAAAAACGGGTCGGAGCGGTCTCAAACGCCCAAAACTGAGTCTTTATCAAATGTGCCAGGCAGGATTTGTGCGAGTCTGCGCTTAATATCAGTCATCGCCAAAATATCAATGAGAAAAAAAATCACGGCGATTGCATACGAAATATGAGAACGCATTATTTTGCGCAGTAACAAAGTTCACTACTATAACAACACGGGTCCTTGACAGAAGCAGGTACATACTATCAGCTGTTTTAGTTTGACAAAGGATAAAGTCTTCGCCGTTGATCAATCCCTTTGTGGGATGCGGCACGCATTCTACTTCCATTCAGAATCGTAGTGGCTTATTGAATGCGATGTGGCCTATACAATGACTTGCGGTGGCCAGCCGATGTACAAGTCAGTGTTTTATCCTCCCAGACGAATCTGGTACCAATTTACCGTCCCGGAGGGTAGAAGGCTTGGTTGGCCTGGGCGGGAGTCGACCCGGGATTCGAACCCGGGACCGCGCGAGTGGTAAGCGCGCCACTTGTCACTACACCACCTCCGCCTCATTGGTTTTGATAACTGCTGTTTAACGCCGCAGTGCGCGCTCGGTAAGTTATCACAAGAATGCTGAGATATTGGCAAAAGTCGGACCCGGGACGGGACTTGAACCCGCATCTCCCGCTTACCGGGCGGTTGCGTTATCCATTACGCTACCGGGGCCTCCTTTGCCTTCTCAGCTCAATGGCATTTTGTGCCATAGCCTTACAGCACTCCACGTTCAACTTGTGAACAAAATGCAAAATGCCATTGAGCTGAGAAGGCGAAGGAGGCCCCGGTAGCGTAATGGATAACGCAACCGCCCGGTAAGCGGGAGATGCGGGTTCAAGTCCCGTCTCGGGTCCGACTTTTGTCAATATATAAGCATTCTTCTGATAACATACTAAGAGCATTTTCACGAAACGGTCATTGAAGACTCGCGGCAATTTGAGTGAAAAATAGCCGAGAAAGTAAAGCAAGTCTCAGTCTCCATAATGGACACCGCTCACAAGAAAACCTTGCCCTAATCCAAGGGGGATTTTTTGTTACCCGTAACAATTACCTCTTCAGAAAGAACACTGGAGAATGGAAAGAAGCGCCAGTCAGCAGCAGATTGTGGGTGAAACAGCTGACCCGACCGTGATCGATTGCGGATTGGTGCGGCCATTTGTGGGCGATTGTGAGTGCACGCATTGGTAAGCTTAAGCTTCGCTAAGTGCTGAGAGACCGTTTATTGCCGGTAAGGATAGATAGAGACAGAGAAACATCTAATCCTTTCTAAGAAACGGGGAATCGTTTGGCGATCGGCGTGTCCATCTTGCACGACTAGGAGAATTATCGTGATCTTCACCTTTACAGCAGTTAATGTGGATGGATTAAATCAAACCGTCTTTTATAGCATATTCTCTCGATAACATGTATTCGTTCCTGAACATTGGCCGACAGGTAGTGGCATTGCGTAGCATGTTTGTCACCGTGAGGCCGAGTGATAGTGCCTCCTCAAAAAAAAAGTCTTAATATTCACAGCGCGATTGAATGTGCACTTATAATTCTCATCTTTTATGTGTTTTTGTCATATTTTCGCCCAAGGCAAAGGTAAAATATGCTGAAAAGGCAATTTCCTCGTCCCTCCTTCTTTTCCCTGTTCTTAATCACGCTCCGTTGCAGTGTATGCTGTTCTTGTTGACAGTGGCCATCTTCTCCTATCAAGAGGGACTGTGCCGTGGCCTCCATTTCTGTGAGGTATGTTTTGACCATGTCTCTCCACCTTTTCTTCGAGGCTCACCGTGGTTGCTTGCCTCATCGAGTGTTCTTCAGGCCTCATCAGAACGTGCAATACATGTAAACCCTCCACTTTATCCAAGCCACACTTACTTCGAGCCTTTACTGCCTGGTCCACGCTACCATGATGGGCCAGATCGCTTGCCAGGTAGCGGAAGTTCTCTTCCCTTTCGATAGACTCTCCATGATCGTCCTGGACGGGCTCGTTGCACTCTTCGGAACTCAGGCGCTTGGTCTTCTTATGTTCAGCCGGAGGCCATTCTTGGCCAATACCACTTGCCATTTTTGCAGCTTGACCTGGAGTCAGGGCACATATTTGTTGGGGAATCCCAAGGGGGGGGGGTCGTATTTGGGTTGGGAAAAATTTATTTTGATAGTTGATTTTTCTCGCTTCATGGACGTTGTAAAGGGGGTCGTACTTGGTCATTTTCAAGAGGAAGGGGGTCGTATTTACGTTTTGGCGTTGTGGGAGTGGCGGCTTGACTTTTGGTGATTTTCCTGTTTCACGTACTTATGCCCTCCCGCTCGACAGCAAAATTTTTGGTAAAACGTACTATATGCGCTTGATTCGATGAGGAAGGACAGAGGGCTGGGGGGGGGGGGGTCGTACCAACTCCCAAAAAAAGGGGGTCGTACAGGCTCGAACAAAATCCCCAACTAATGCTGTGCCCTGCCTGGAGTTCTTCTCTGCTCTCCGCTATCAGTGCAATGTCATCGGCGTAGATGATCTTGAGAGGACCGTCCTTTGCCATGACATCCAGGGTTACTAGGAAGAGGAAGGGGCTAAGAGCTGACCCTTGGTGTACCCCAACCCATGTGTCTACCTCCCTTATGAGGCCGTGCGGGGTGCGTACAGCCGTCTTTGCCCCATCGTACATGTCCTTCACCAGGGAGATGAGGTGCTCGGGAACATTCCGTTCTCTGAGAGCCCTCCAGAGTACAGGTCTCGGTAAGCGATCAAAGGCCTTCTCTAGATCCAGGAAGGCTAGGTAGCAAGAGCGACGCTTCTCTCGATACTTCTTCATCACCTATCTGGCGATGAAGATGGCATCTGTAGTGGACATTTCGAGCATGAAGCCGACTGTTCCCATGAGACTGGAACGAGGTCTCTTGGTCTGGTGTTGACTAACCACACGTACAGCTTCAGGTTCTATACGCTTCCAAGGGATTCTCCGTCACTGTCCTGGATGGAATCATTGAACTCTTAGGAGCTCAAGAGCTTGGTCAACTCAAACTTCAATTGTAGGCCACTTTCGGTCACTACCTCTTGCCATTTTCGCAACTTCCCTTGAAGTTCTTCTCTGCTCTCCGCTATCAAGGCAATGTCATCTGCGTAAATGATGATCTCAAGTGGCCCCGCCAAGAGTTCCTTTGCCGTGACATCCAGGGTTAGTAGGAAGAGGAACAGGATGAGAGCTGGCCCTTGGTATAGCCAGCCCTTATGTCCACCTCCCTTGTAAGGCCGACGGGGCGCATGCAGCCGCTTTCCCATTGCAGTGTCCTTCACCAGGGAGGTGAGGTGCTCGGGAACATTCCATTCTTTGTGAGCCCCCCCCCCCAGTGTACAGGATGCGATAAGCGCGGCGTGCGCTCTGCGCATGGGTTGGTTACTCCAGAAAGCAGGGTATACATAGCGATTTCAGCAGGGTGTACATAGCGATTTCAGAACAAACTGAATACAAACTGAAATGAATATAGAATACGACTTTATGTAAATCACGGTGACACCATGGAGAAAGGAACGTACTTGTTCTGTTATGTTTCCATGTACGAAAAATTCTACAAAGAAAACGCCTAGCATCTCTTTTCCGAATGCCTCGACTTCGTCTAGCTTGAGATCTAAAATCAGTTCAACCGTATCATGGGACTTAGTGCAACAACTTCCGGAATTCCAGAGAAATACACTTTCCTTCGCATACGACGAGCAGCTGCTTGTTGGTCCAGCACCGATCTTTTAGTAGCTGCAGGAATATAGTAATCTGATAGCGAAATAGGATCCGCGAGCGCAGAGTTCTTAAGCCAACGCTTTACTTCGTCAAATAAGGCATCAAAACGGAGAGGATCTGTAAGCGAGGATCTGAAATACCATCAAGCTACTAGACAATTTTGGCAGATTATTTGCACATTTCGAAGCATTTCCGTGCAATTGGCAAGTAATAATCAAAAAGGTCTAGTCAAATAAGGGGTTTCGGAGTGACTCACCCGGTTTGAAGCCTATCATTCGCTTAATAATATGCTCAACAAGTTGTGGTTGTTTTTCGTCGTAACCCCACACCTGAATTATGAATCTACAATCACTGTTCATGGAAACGAGAGCATTGGACTGGGAGGGAGGAGAAAGAAGGGAATTAGGGTAGCCTTTCCCACAGCTTGTTGCTGGCTCAGGATGGCGCCATTGGTGGGAAGGGGACCACTCCCCCAACCTTCAATCCACGCTTTCTCGTTTGCACGAATAACAACTTCACCGCAGCTCTGAGCTCCAGTGCTCCTCGTTTGCAGGGATAACGACCGTAAGCTATGGTAACGCGGATGTGCGCTCTTGAGTTCATGCAACTCTGCTACATTTTCATGCTTTCTGGCAATTGTCAATATAGTAATGATCCCACTGATTGCTGGGAGCAGCACTAAGTTCCTCTGGGGCAGCTTTCAGACTTGTCGCGCTTGAACGCGCGTTGATTCGCATAAACACGCTACAAGTACAGGCGCTCCGATAGACCAGATCCCAGCCTTCCTTTTTGTTCTTTCTTGCGGTATTCAACCCCCTTTTTCACTGTTTATCATTTCTGTCGGAATCTCAGCTCCTCTTTAACACTGAATTTTAGTGCCTTCTTGACAAAGGACACTGTGTTACTGATTTTGTATACCGTTTCAATTAAACTCCTCGTCAAAAACGTCAAACTCAAGAACTCAAAACGTCGTCAAAAACGTCAAAAACTACATTAAAATTCAATGTCAAAGTGAAAAAGAGGAGCTAAGAATCAGGTAGAAATGAGAAACAGTGAAAAAGGGTTGAATACCGGAAGAAAGAACATAAAGGGAAGCTGGGGTCTGGTACAATTGGAGCGCGCTTGTAATTGTGGTGTGTTCATTTACAAGCGACAGCAACAATTGAAGCGAGACAAGAACGCGCGTTGAAACGCGACAATCGACGCGCGTTCAAGCGCAACAAGTCTGAACGCTGGCTCACCTGACAAGCGTCACCATAAAGGCAGTTGGCACGATAAATCGCTATACAGGTGTAGGATTTGTACAACTGGCTTAACAGAATTCCGTGACCTCGGACAGGCGCTGCGTGAAGCCTTTTCCAAGGAGGGTACCTCTATAACGCCCTACAACTTTACGTCCCAAACGCCTTCCTTGCCCGCCCGCCCACAAACGGACGACCGTTTCTGACGCTCGTATTCATTCATTTGCTGAGCAAATTATGAAGCAAAGGGATTGGTATGAAGCGGCCGTGATGCTGCATGCATATATGGGTACACATATGCAGCCGTATCTTCGGTAGCGGTGATTGGTAAGATGCCTACGGGAAACTCGTCCGAAATCGATTTACAAGTCACTGAGAACGGAGGCTTTTTCTTCGCAGGATTTTGACCGTTTCACTCCGTTCTTTCGCCATTTCCCCACTATACAGCGCCCTACTAGCATTTTAGGCTAAGTAGGAAACCATCGTGCCAACTGCCTTTAAGCAGAGACAAAGTACCCACCATTGTTATCGGTCCTGGCCACTAGAATCTGAGGTTCACACTCTAAACACCATGTAGACCCGATCGCTCAATGCCAGTTGGCGCAGACAAAGCAAAAAGTTAACTCGATATTACGTGGAGTCGAACTGCGCAGTTTTCCTTACTCATGCAAGCTGAGGGAGGGCTAACCTACACCAAGCTTCCCTTTTGGGCAGTTGACATGATAATCTCTGAGACGGATTAATGTGCCTAGCAGGACGGGATTCCGCTGCCCTGAGCAGGAGCGGCGTAGCGCCCTTTCCAAGGAAAGCACCCTTATAAGGCTCTATCAAGCTACAACATACCGACCCGAACGCCCACCGCGCCCGCCCGCCCACAAATGGACGACCGTACCTGATGCTCGTATTGCTTCATTTGCTAGTAAAATATGAAGCGAAGGGATTGGTATGAAGCGGCTGCGGTGCTGCATGGATATATGAGTACATAAGTGCAGCCGTACCTACCACAGCGACTGTTGGCAGGCTGCCTATGGGAAACTCGTCCGAAATTTCTTTCTGAGTCCTTATTAACAAAGGGTTTTCTTAGCGAATTTTTAACAGTTTCACATCTTTTTTCGCCATTCTCACACTGTATAGGGCCTTGCTAGCATTTTAGGCAGAGTACCAAATTATCGCGCCGACGGACTTTAAGTGACTATTCGCTCCAACTCTACGCGATCTTGGGCTGCGTTGTTTGGAGACCGACCGTGAATCTATGTACTAGTTCCACAAGCTCCCAACTCGATTTCAAATGGACATGTTGACCCAAAATCGACTTCAAGCTGTGACTTTCGACTTTTAAGCATTGGTGGGCTGTCCGGTAACGTAGGCGTACTCCTCATGCAGCTCCTTCATTTTAGTCTCGGCTGGGGCTTTCTCCCGTCACACTGCCTCATGCTTGAGTCAAAGTGGTAGAAGAACAATAATCAAGGGCGCAGATACCGACGATCCGGAATGAGATTATTGTCCCTATTGCAAAACAATGGAAAACAAGTGACTGGTTTTTGTAGTACAGGAGAATTAATAACTTAATTGTTCACGGTATCGGTCACGCCTTTTCAGACTAAGGACAGGTGTTTCACAAAATATTACACGCTCTTCCTGTCAACGCAATAACTACTACTCACTTCCAGTAGCAGCCCGAAATCTTCCTCTTTTATGTTGCAGTTGAGACCAGCCAGCGCCGCATTCGCAACATCGCCCGTCAAAGCGTCCTGTGAGGTCAAATCATATGTTAGGAATAGAAAAAAGACAGAGGAACTCACTTGCAAACATAGTGAGAACACTTTCAAGAGCACTTCTGATTTTGGGGACTTCATCACCATTGGAGAGATGAGTGCGACCTGCAACGGAACGCATTATGATTATGATTTAGATTCAGATGATGACGAAGTCCCACCCTAGTCACGGCTATGGGGAGTGATACTCGTCGTCTTGCTTGAACCAAATTCGACACCATGCATCGTCTTGTATGACGCGAGGATGTTCCCTATCATTAGCATTTCTCTTCAATAATGCTTTATTTCTCTTCAATGGCTCATTCCATGCAGTCAGTTGGAACGAAGCTCCTGCTAGAATCGCTTCCTACTCAGTGGTGCGCCACTTAATATAAGAAAATAAAAGCACGGACGCACTAGTAGAAAACCACAATGGTACGCCCGATTCCGCTGCATTCTGCTGATTCATTCTTCTTAGCTCTTAATTATCTTCTTAGCTGGTATATGAGCCGAAGACTTGTGGGCTCATTTGACTGGTCTCATCACCAACCCCTTTGCCACCAATTGCTATCACTTGTTGTGAGAAGCGGGTTTGCGCTGCACCGAGCAACCAGCGACTCTGACGCGCCTCGTCTACAACGTGAAGACTGCAGCTTCAGGAAACAGAGAAAAGGCCGTGACAGATACTCACCGTTTAGTTGTTTCTCGTGGTTTGAGATCGAATTTTGTAGCAATGTAGTCGTTCTTCAGCGGTAGATGCAGAGAAGGATTCATCCGTTTCCAGAGCGGTTTCAAACTGCTCCATTGTTTCCTTCAATACCATTGTTGGGTTCCAGTAGCCCTTAGTTATAACACCGAAGTCAAATTTGACATCAATGTGACATAAAAGGCGGCATTAGCCCTTCTCCCACAGAAAAAAAAACAGCGCTCCTAAAAGTTCAGCCGAGTGATCATGAAATCCAGATTGTATGTAGTGCTACACTCTACGAGGAAGAGTACGCTGAAGTCAAGACCAGCCGCAGAGTCTGGCTTTTCAGCGATTATCACATGTGTAGTATCAATGTGAAACTACAAATTTTTATTTCGGCGAGCTCAAACGACATCAAAAGTCTCGAACCTTCTCCGGAATATACAGGATGGAGGGCACTAAAAAAGACACTTCTACCGAGTGACATAAAAATTTTCGCAGCACAACTGCCTACCCTTACGTTTCGTAAACACACTGCTCCACATAATGATAATTCCACCCATAACTCTAACAGAATTCCGCCTTCCATGATGTTTTTGAAACTGTTCCCAATAAGAAAATGTGGCCACGACCAATGCCAGTTCGCATGCAAACAACAAAAACTAACTTGAAAGAATGAGTTTTTCTAGTTTATTTTCTGAAAAAGGTCAGTTTGATAATCCAGGACTGTCTAAGTCAAATCGCAAGGGATTTGGGCCGCAGTCATCATGTGATCAATAGTTTGTCAAGCAACCTGCAGGATATGGAATTAACACTGACGACCGCGCGGGTTTTCACTTTTTTGGTCTCATGGGACACGCGCGCTTTCTTAAACCCACAAGCGCGGTACGCCAGTTCAGGCGGTCCCGCGAGGTGCTTTTTCTGAAGATTGGATCGGAAGACCTGGTTCAGAGAGCAACTGTGAAGTAACTCACTTATTTACCATGGAAAAAAAACTAGGCTGGTTGAATTCTCGTTGCACTAGGTGCCAGGAATTTGTTTGTAAGCAATATTTCCATAAAAAACACGAATAAAGAGCAAACTAACAGGAGCAAACTAATTCGAGCTTAGGTGCTCTTTCCACAAAATCTTTGCCAGATTAGTGTGTACAAACCTATGCCATGGACCATGTGTTGCCAATGCACGCGGTCCCACGTGGCCCACAACGCGTGCATTCAATGCGTATCACGCGGTCGTCAATGTCTAAGAAGAGCTCTACTTCGCTCTCTGACCGAGATAAGCGCCGCATCCTAAGAGAAGCATCAATTTCTACAATGTCGCGCCGGGAAATAGCGCTTACTTTGAAGCTAAACGTTGCGAAAGAAACTGTTCGTCTTGAAAAGTCCGAGTCTTTTCACAGAAGGAGAATGAAGAAGGCATGGTTTCTGTAGGAAAGGCATCGTGAAAACCGAATCGGCTTTGATAGGATGCCGAACCGATTAGAGCAAGGTTAGCTTATGACAGCGGCGTCCTTGCCTGTCTTGTCTCAGTTTTTTCCGAAGGCCGAGCTTCCTGAAGAGACAAATTCAACAGCGCGTAGACGCAAACCGATCCAATCGACACAATCTCAGGAAAGAGAAGCTACATTTTTCCCATGTGAAACTTTGGAGGAGGTGGTGTTATTGGCCTGGGCTGCCTTCACATCAATGGATCTCTGAAGTGCTGCTTCGTTTTGAAGGAAATGAAGTCTCTCGATAATCCCAATGTTATGCGACAAGATCTCCTTTTTTCTGACGTGGATTTTGGCAAGAGAACCTCGCTTTCGTGCAAGATAATGCACCAGTTCATGCCATTCCAAGCACTCGAGCACATTCCAAGCACTGATTCAGTCATCATCAAATCGCTTCTTTTGCGGCCAGTGAATAATATAGACTCAAACTGAACTGAGCTATCTCTTTGAAAACCTCCGCACACAAAAAAATTTTTTAATACAATATATGGTTTCAAAAGATCATTCAGAAGTTAACGAATAATAAATAAATAAATAAATAAATAAATAAATAAATGAATAAATAATACAATGGACTAAAAATAAGGTAAAATGATGATTAGGATAAGCAAGTGAAAAGCAAGCTAAAAATTGACCAAATAACTAACTTAACTAAATAATGCAATTTAAAATTTTAAACGATATATTAGACAGTTATTATTTTTTTAAACCCAATCGAGAATGTGTGGGGCTTCATGATGCGTAAAATCTTTGCAAACAATGCGATTCCACAATGTCTATGGGCTTGAGGAGTCAATTTCTGATGCATGGCACCCTGTCAACCGAACGCCTGTTTGAATTTCTACTCGAGCATGGAGAACCGCATTTTCCAACTGTTTCGGGGTAATGGGGCTCCAGTAGATTACTAAATCAACAGTTTATCCATTTCATTCGATTTGGTGGAACTATCATTTTGCGGAATTGTCAGAGTAACCTTTTTTCGAAAAAATGAAGAATAAAGAACTCATCGTTTCAAGTTGGTTTTTGATGCTAGCGCGCAGAATGCAGTGGTAGTCACCACAACTACTGCTCGCCAGAATTTTCGAAAACGTCTGCAGGACGGGATTTCGTCAGTTTTATGGTGGACTATCATTAAGTGGAGCGATGTGTACGCTGCTTTTACGAAAAAGTCACCTCGTTTATATCTAGGATTCGCATCTCTGTCCCAAAAACCGGCTCGTGAATATTGCCCTTCCTGACCACTGTACTGCTTGGCAACTACGATGTAGAACATGTTCTTCGGAGACAACATCTCGATGATTTCCATAATTCTATCTGGAATCCGTTGTCGTTGGAAGCAAGGTAATGCTGACTGTGTAGGCGGAGTCCGACTCGAATGAGCTTTCTCATTGGTGCACGGCTTCTTGCAAATGTAAGGGTGAAGGTAGCCGATGAGGCAAGAGCAGTGATAGTGGCTCCGCCCACACAGCCAGCGTGAACAGTGCCTTCAGGATGTTCTTTCCGTTCATAGCATGAGGAACGTGCACGATCCACCGCAGGCTACGTTCAATGGTGAAATCCTACTACTTTATTGAAGTTGTGCAGTACCAGGTTTGTACTCCGTCCAAAGAAGATTCCACGACAGAATGTCTCGGAAAGGAATACGCTGCAAATTAGAAGAATATGCGATGACCGCAGCTACTGGATCGACCTTCTCCTAAATCGAATAGGAAATGAGCGGTCAAGTGTACTTGAACCTCATTCGACGAACCATAAAGCGAAAATTGATTTCATCTATTTTTTGGAGTTCCTCATAAATCCAAGCGATCGCGCCACTACGTCTAAGTAGCCCAATGCAGGTTGAAAACTAGGCTAATCACTTCCTCAACGTGACTGAGACCATCTGAAAAGAAAAAAAAACTGATTGTGACGGGAATACAAACGTTTTCAGTGTGTAGCGCCGATTTATTTTCAGAAAAAGGAAGTAAGCACTCTTCACTTCCGAAATTTAGGGCACCATTTGGTCGAAATTCTCCCTTAGTGGTAGACTTGGATGCGGCTCAGTTACTTAGTCAATTTTCTTCTTGAGTCAATTTTCTTTTCAATCTACTCCCTCTCGTCTGCATAGGCCTTCCTCACTGAAATCCTATTCTCCTGGCTCGCCACATGTTTTTCTGCACCATTCGCTGCTTTGGCATCCGACATCCAGTAATCGTGCATAAGGGGTTTCCCTGATCATGCGTGAGAGTTTGAATCCAACCAAGTATAATAGTCTAGTTGAGAGTGTCGACGTACCCCTCCGGCACATTTTCAGCATGGCATCAGGCGACTCTGGGATAACCGCATGTAACTGACGTTCGTGCCATACATTGAAAAGGATTTCTAAGAAACCTCGTTACTACCCAGCTGCCCCGGAGAAGAACGTTGGCGGACTTCAGCTGGAGTGTCATAAGATACCATATGCCACCATCTAGCACATATCCTGAGACCAGCCTACAGCATGACCTCACTCAACGCTGCGCTGAGTGCTGACCTCTCACTGGCTGCTTGCTCAACGAAGCGGAATCTGACGACGACAATTTCCAAGGTTGACTATTAGAGGAGGAAACTCCTTTTTACTGGCTTCCAAACTGCACAACGAAATAAATAAAAAGCACTACTTAACATCATAAAAAATTATATGGTTTTATTACTTATGTATCTAGCCATCCATCCGCAAAAGTCTCTTAGCTGATCCTCAGGGGCTCATTTCAATAACCTTCAAATCTAAAAGCAGGGTAGGTTTATCATCTGTTCCACCTGGACTGGTTGAAAGAACCAAGACTAGAACACGTAAGGCTTTCAGATGCATGGGAGAAGCAGGCAGACGGTGAAAGGGGTGAAGGAGCTAGTGAGTGTTGCGATTGCATGCATAGACATGCAATGGCGACAGGTTAACCCATGAGTTCCTGCAGGGGGTAGATGTCAGGAATTATGCAGGTGAGAAAGCTCGGAGGGTACTCGGTGACGGTGAATCATCGGCGGAGCAGCCATGTAGAAGCCATCTGCAAAGAGTGAGTGGACCGACGATAGAGCAGCACAAACGTGCATAAAATCGGGTGGAGTAGAACTTGTGTGGAATGAGTGCATGGAAGAGATATGACAGGACCCGTTATAGCAGTAACTCGTGCAACGACAAACACTGACGAGATGTCTTAATGGTTTTCTCATCCAGCTATCCTTACATTCTATAAACCACTAACTCTGTGTGTCGGTTTGTCGGTATGTATGTATGTATGTCTGTCCGTCCGCAAAATGCTTCACGGGTTCAAACACGTCAGTGTAGGAGAGTGTACGACCGCTAGCCGGTGGCGAAACCAGTTGGTGCAGATGTATCAATCCAATGTTTTGATTGTGATAACACCCTGCACTATATAAGAGAACCATGTAGTGCACTCCAAACCATTGCACGAGCTGCTCGCGTGGCAGGTGGACGTGAGCACGTGCAGCGGCCGGGATGGGGAGTGGGTGGGGCAAGTGGGAGTGGGGAGGGTATAATGTGGGTGGGTGGGATTAGTGAGGGAGAGTACGGGAGGGGAAGCATAGAGTGCGTTTAGTAGAAACTCATCACAAGTGTGGTAATAAAAGCGCCAATGAAAGCGATAAGGTGAATAGAGGAAGGATCAACCGCTAGCAGAGTCGCGAATAAAATCCATGTTTTGGTATCACTTTGAGGCAATGTGTGATTGTTTACAACCTCACTATATAAAAGAATCATGTAGTGCACTATAAGTGAGCTACTCGCATGAACATATTGACCAAGATTGTTGACTATCTGTATAAAAGAAAAGCCGGTGAGGAGAAAGGATAAGTGCGGCGGAGCCGGGCCGCTCAGCAAATCCATTCTTTATCTCAGAAGAAGGCGTGCAGGCATCAGCCGGCAAAGCCGGCTGGTATAAATATATTTTCAAATGGCCTTCAATGGGGTGTGAGTAGCAGCACCAGCAAGTCAACAAAGAAAGGTCATAAGATAAATAAAGTGTGTCAGGTGATCTCGTAAGAGTTGCTTCGCCTTTGGAAGGTCATAAGAATTGTGAGTGCACCTAAAAACAGAAGCTTCCAAAATTTTCAACACGGTTCCTTCGATACGAACATTCATCCTCATTCTGATATTTATGGAATTGGGAAATCACTGATCTTCACATATCAAGTTTAACTAAAGACTAATTCGATTCGATTCATCTCGTTTCGTTGAGCAGCCAGTGAGAGGTTAGCAGTCAGCGCAGCAATTAATTGAATTCATGCCGCACGCAGGCCCCGGGAATGTGCTAGGGGGTAGCGACAGTATCTTACCGTACGAAACTTCAACTAGAGGTGCTCACCCGGGGAAGATTTCCGACTGGTCTGAATTTCGATGAGATTGGCGGCAAATAGTGAACAGCTGAAGTTGTGGAGATTTTCACAGAATCAAATCGCTTACCATCGCTGAGACTGACTTCTATGTAAAAAAGGCTGATTCCTCTTGCGAGAATAATCTCTTTAGCTTCCAAAGTGCTCCCCAATCCTCGCCGCTTCAATTCAGACAACAAAGAACCTTCTCCTCCACGGGCGGTCAGATGAGCTGTAACATTCGTAGAAAAATGAAATATTTCAACCACTCCACCCTCTACCTCTTTTCTTGAAAACTTCACAAAGGTGCAGAGAGTACAATAAAATTTACAGGGGTGCGAGGATGAATTGGTCATTTATCACGAACGTTGTGCAGTCTTAAAGGCACGGCCCGGGATCAGGCATGGACGTTTAGAATACGGCGTCTGAAGGGTGGAGTGGTCCGCGACGAATCCTTATACCAGTTTCGCGCCGAAAATTGTAAGGGACGAGCGCAAAATAGCTTCAGTGACATCTTTACTCCAGTGACACCGACTCAAGGCCCCCCTCTCAGTGAAAAGCGAGCTGCAGAACGAAAAATAGGAAGAACACTTGTATGGCCATAGAAATTTTATCGAGGATTCAGCTGTGCGGATAACGTGTAGTGTTGTAGATGGAGTGTATTGGGCACGTAACTGGGATCGGGAAGAGGCTCTATCCTAGGCAGTCGGTATTTTTCCTGCTTTTTCATTCACTATCAGGCTACTTAGGACCCCAACATCCACTATGGGTGACCAGTGGGCTCGCCGGCTATCGCCAGCGTGCCTCCTTCTGATACGGCCCGGCTGCGCCGGGCGGGCGCGGCTTCGCCGGGCGGGCGCGGCTTCGCTGGGCGGGCGCGGCTTCGCTGGGCGGGCGCGGCTTCGCTGGGCGGGCGCGGCTTCGCTGGGCGGGCGCGGCTTCGCTGGGCGGGCGCGGCTTCGCTGGGCGGGCGCGGCTTCGCCGCGCGTATTTTCTTTCACATATTTCTAGACTCAACTGATATCCGCCTTTTGTTCTGTACTCCACTTTTTCCGGTGTCTGAAGTACTCTTGAGCTATTTTACAGATTCTTCGTCTGACTCCGCCCACCTCGGAGCAGGCCCCGCCCACAATGTTTGTGCCCTACAATCTTCACCGGCGACCCTCTGCTGACCTTAATCCGCTTTTTTCCGGTGTCTGGAGTGCTCTGAAACTATTTCAGATTTTTCGTCTGACTCCGCCCACCTCAGAGCAGACCCCGCCCACAATTTTTGTGCCCCACAATCCTCACCGGCGACCCTCTGCTGACCTTAATTCACTTTATTCCGGTCTTCGGAGTGCTCTGGAACCGTTTTACAGACCTTTTTGTCTGGCTCCGCCCACCTCGGAGCAGGCTCCGCCCACAATGTTTTTGCCCCACAATCCTCAATCGGCGACCCTCTGCTGACCTTAATTCACTTTATTCCGGTCTTCGGAGTGTTCTGGAACCGAGCTACAAACTTTTAAAATGAATACCCTGCGATTTAGGGCAAGCTCCGCCCACTGTGGGCGGGTCTCAACACACTTTGAGCGTGCCCTATATTCGCCAGATATTTACATTCTACACTGAGTTTTTTGCGACTTCCAAACACTCTCGCGAACCGGGTTACTGAATTTTGCGAGAAGCACCGCCCACCTTGAGTACGCCCCGCCCATTTTGGATGTGTCTGCCACAGTTAGTCTGGCGACTCCTTACTAACCTTATTCCCTTTTTTCCCCATCTTTAAGCTGCTCCGGAAGCGAATTATGAACATTTTTCTGCGGAACCCCAAACTTTCGGCGAGTGCCCCGCCCACTGTGGGCGGGGCTTCCCAAAGTTCAAGTGTGTTTTTTATTTCTTGTCCCATGGCCTTACCCCTCGCGACACCTTGACCCGACCTGTCCAAGTCGTTCTTCAGGTCGAACCGAATTTCCGGACAGACAAACTTACAAACAAACAAACTTACAAACAAACTTACAAACAAACAAACAAACAAACAAACAAACAAACGAGCGAGTTTGTTCCACCATATGGGTGATGGCGAATGATAGCTAGCTTTGTTTAAAGACTGACTCCGCAGTTAGCCGACAAGCAGAACTCCTTTTAGTACAAGATGGCTCGTTCGGCGACATCAGAGGATGTTCCCCTCCCGTAAGTCAAGAGCAGGGAGTCGAGAGATACAGTGAGCTCGATAAGATGTTCTGCCACGAGGAAGTCCCTGCCCTCGCAATAGCCACCCAAGCTTCATTGATTCATTTTACCATTGCCGCATAGTAATAAGCTTTCCATTAGTTGTGCAATCTCTTCTCTTTTCCATCTCATTGTCTGGTGGGATCGTTGGGAGGCGCAGCGGATATTGGGGCGTATCAGTAGGCGGGGTCTCACTCA